CTCTTTCTCTCTCTCTCTCTCTCTCTCTCTCTCTCTCTCTCTCTCTCTCTCTCTCTCTCTCTCTCTCTCTCTCTCTCTCTCTCTGTGCATGTGAGAGAGAGATTTCTGTTCTTCAGAAATATGTTGTATAAAGTCAGCCGGTGGTGTCTCAGTATGCTGTTCTTCTCAATGGTTTTCACTTTTACCGTGACAGGGACATGTTGTGAGATAATCAACAACTTTTCACAAACACAGTGTCATGAGGTAAGACAGAATTTTTGCCCATTGTTCTGAAAGAAGCATTCTATGCATCCCTTGTCAGTGCGATGCAAAAGACGTGGTGACTAATACTTCTCCTCTCATCATGAAACTGTGGGCTCACCAGAGATAAAAGGACTGACTTCAGAGAGGAACGTATTCCCCCAACTCCAGATTTGAAAAATGCATATTCTCTCCATAGTAGACAAAGTCACTAAGGGCAAAGAAGATGATCAAAACACAATATATTCTGGCTGCTGAACACATGGTACCTTGATTGACATTTCAGAGAGTGACTTCGCAGCAGGTGGCTCATGCCAGACAGAAACCATCTTGATCTCAATCAGTTTCATTATGAGAAGGGTCTTCAGTTTTCTTATGAGTATGACTGGTCATCAGATGTCATTTGGACTACATATGCTGTTAGGTTTTTAGAATAACCAACCCAGTGAAGGACTGTTAGTTTCTTCATGCAGAAGAAAAGCCAGTAGGAGCTAGTGGGTAATTAGGGAATTATTGTCACCTGTTTCTTGTTTCACTGCTCTCTTTTCTTCCTCGGTGTGTGACTGGAGACTGGACCATAAGCTGCTGCTACAAGACCAAAGAAGGTTGACACGTCCAAAGTGTAGATGATGAAAAGCCACACCATGTGTGAACAGATATCGTTTAGCCATTAGCCTTCAGCTACAATTATTTTGGCTCTGGTTTTTTATGCGTCTCCTAAGGGGGGAATAATACTTCATTGCTGTCATTCCCTTTTCTTCTGGTTTTCATGCCCTCTCTCAGTCATGCAACACAACAAAGAATATACAATTTAGAATATTAACTTTATATACAAATATATATATATATATATTAAATCAAATCAAGAAAAGTATGAAAGTTTTTTTTTTAAAGTAGGGATGTTTGCAGTGATTAAACTGAAACAGTTACTAATTAAGTACTCTGCTCACCTTGCTGACATTGTAATACAGCAAATTGGGAAAGAGAAAGAGCAAATGAACCTGAAAGATGAGTGAAAGAGATAACCCAGGGAGACGGAGAGAGCAGTGCTGTGGGTGGATTTGGGAGCCATTTCTTTAATTGGAAACATCCTACAGTTTTTCAGAAGCACAATGGTCAGAGTAGGAGGGAGGGTGGCACCAATTTACCAACTGAGAGGATGTTATCGTCACATGCAGAACGAGAGTCAAAGGCCATTGACAGTGACAGCTTGACCTTTTCAGCATCTTTTTTCTTTTTTCTTTTCCGTTTTGCCCACTCTCTCTTTGTTGCAATAATGGCGAGCTTCACTGAGAGTGAAATGTGTTGCTTTTATGTTGATCAATTTGTTCAAGCTTTTATTATTTACTCATTTAGCTTTTATTCATTTTGTTTGTTTGAAAAGCACCACATGCTGCACTTGTCTGTTGCTTTCTTTTAGTATCTGGTTTTGTTCCGTAGTGACGGTCAGTAATAATAGAGGCAGCAGGTAAATGTGAGATTCTCTGGAGAATCTACTGAAGTACTGCAGAGGCCTGCAAAACTGACATGTTTTTGTGGTGAAGTATTTCTCTATCATCATACCACACATGAACAGAAGGTTTAACTCTGACGCACTTTCTCCCCTGAAATGCAGCCTGTGCTGAACTAACAGGTTTGTGTTTGTGTGGTGAAAGTGACAGGTCTGAGCTTTGATCATTAGGGATTATTATATTTCTATGTCACTCCTATGAAATGGCAACATCTTCTGTATAAATCAGAGATTTCTTGAAAAAGGATGTTGCCATCTCTGCATGGATGACACTACCCGTAGTAACAAAGCGACGCCCACTCTTCCCAAGTAATGAATTCAGCCTGCTGGCGGAGTTGTCCCAGATGTAGAGGATTTAAACTTTTAGCAGAGTTGGCATGAAACAACTCGACTCCTGAATGCATTCTAACTGTCACTCCCAGCCCTACAGCATCAGACTGGAATCCCTTATTTTATTTGACTCATACCGTATCTTAGCTATCCAAACAGCACTCCGCGCAGACTGAAAAAAAAAGTGATGTATTGGATTTATTTCATTCAAATGTGTATATTGTTTTCACATGAATAAAGTATCAGCAACAAAATTATAATTATAAAGAACATAATTATAATTGTATAGTAATTTACTACAATTTAAATTTGGAGTTTAAAACTCAAAAATCAAAAAAATGAATTTAAATAGTATGAATTTATGAGTTATAGAAGTATACATTTAAAATTATTTTAACATGATAAGTTTAAGTTATTTTAATGATCTGTCTGCATATTGTGTATGTCTTTCCCACTTTTATTCACCTCCTGTGTATTGTCTTGTCCCCTGGCCTATCTTCCCTAAACTGTGCGATTCCCTTGTAAATAAAAAAAAAAAAATGTAAATAAAACCTGACAGCAATAATCTGCTAATTCTTTTTGACTTGTGCACAATTGAAAACAGTAAAAAAAGATAATTAATGTTTCAACTAATTAACTTTATTTTTTTTGTATATATACATTTATTTTAAATTTGATGCCTGCAACATGCTCCAGAAAATGTGGGACAGGGGCATGTTTACCACTGTGTTACATTACCTTTCCTTTTAACAACGCACAGTAATTGTTTGAGAACTGAGGACACAAGTTGTTGTGAAAGTAGATTTTTTTGCCCATTCTTGCTTGATATAACACTTCAGCTGCTCAACAGTCCAAGGTCTCCATTGTTGTTTATTACACCACACGTTTTCAAAAGGAAAGCAGGTTTGTACTGCAGGCAGTCCATTGCCTGCACCTGCATTCTCTTACTACAAAGCCACACTGTTGTAACATGAGCATTATCTTGCTGAAATAAGCAGGGACGTCCCTGAAAAAGACATAATTTAGATGGCAGCAAGTGTTGCTTCAAAGTATGTATTTACTCCTCAAGCATTAATTGTGCCTTCAAAGATAAGCAGGTCACCCACTGGCTGGCTTTAGATGTTTGTGTTGGCAAGAATCGGGATAGACCTTTTCCTCTTTCTCACAGACACAACATTATCTCAAATCAAATCAAAATCAAATCAAATCAAGTTTATTGTCACATCACATTTACACAGGTGGAAAGTGAGTGAAAATCTTAGGTGTACAGTAAAAAGTTATGAAATAAAACTATGAAATGTGCTGTTGTGCACATTTCCGTATGTGTAGTTAGTCTGAGGTAGATAATAAATGAGATGCAGGTATACAGGGATGGAATACTAATATAGAAACCTTCCAGATTATACAAGATATGGATATGAAATGTACAAGATGGCAGTCTATGTGTGTAGTACAGATTTGCTAGATTGAAGGGAGTATCAGAGTGAGTCTAATGAGATGTGGATGAGGTGTAGATTGTCCATTGAGATGATGACTCAACGGCACAGTGACAGGCCTATAGACCGATACACCAGCACTACTGGCTGTTCAGCAGCCTGATGGCCCGGGGGAAGAAAATGTCTTGGAACCGGCTGGTTCTGGACTTTATGTTTCTGTATCTCCTCCCGCTTGGCAGCTGTGAGAACAGACAGTGGCTTGGGTGGGTGGAGTGCTTTAGAATCTCCAAAAACAATTTAAACAATTTAAAAGGTGGACACATTTCTACTTTGTAGCTGTCCATCTCAGATGAGCTTTAGCCCAGAGAAGTCGGCAGTGTTTCTGGATGTTCTTGATATATAGCTTCCACATTGTATAGCAGTCTTAACTTGCATTTGTAGATGCAGCAACTGATGGTGTTTATTGACAAGGGCTTTCCGAAATGTTCCTGAGCCCATGTAGTTATATTCATTACAGAATCAAGTCTGTTTTTAATGCAGTACCATCTGAGGGACCATAAGTCACAGGCATTTGAAATTGGTTTTCAGCCTTGCCCTTTACGCACAGAGATGTCTCTGAATTCCCTGAATCTTTTGCTTATATCAATGCTTTCTGTTTTCATTTGCATTTTACCTGCTGTCCCAATTTTTTTGGAACGTATTTGTTTCTAGCACAAAAAGAGTCTATTAACGTTCAAAAACTTATCTCAGTTGTGTGTAACCACTGTCTATAATTCAATTTCATTTAAAAAATAGTTCATTTATAGAGCTATCTTTTAACAAATACATACATATGCAGACACATACACTGTCCAACACAAACTTTTATTTTGATCTCTTTTGTTGTTTGATTGTTTGTTTTGAACCACTGTTTATGTTGTTTTGCTCAACACACTGCGTTTTGCAGATTATAAAAATAATACACTGATTCATTAACTGCTTGATGAGTGAGAGCCAAAAAAATCAAAGCACAAAGTACCCTTTTATTTTGAAAACGTCCTTCAAAGACATCTCCTAGCACCTCTCAAATAAAGTGTGTGTGTATGTGTGTGTGTGTGTGTGTGTGTGTGTGTGTGTATGTGTGTGTGTGAGAGAGAGAGAGAGAGAGAGAGAGAGAGAGAGCGAGAGAGAGAGAGAGAGAGACAGAGAGAGAAATAGATAGAGACACACACACAGAGAGAGAGAGAGAGAGAGAGAGAGAGAGAGAGAGAGAGATTAGGTAACTTTTCACAAAGATGTAAAGATGTGCTTGCTGCTATCCTGGAAAACTGCTATCCTGGAAAACTGATAAAATCATCGTAAGGTATTTTATCTCTGCCAAAATCAAATCGAGTCTGGGTTTCGCTCGTGCGCGTGCGCGTGCCCCACTGGGCATCGAGAGCGAGAGCGCGCGCGTCTCCGGTGGAGATTCATCCTCCTCATCCTCGCACACGGACGCAGCGCTGACGGGAACCACACACACACAGCCAGCACTCATCCTGAGAGCCACACACACCTGTGAGTATCTCTTACAGCAATACTGCTGCTGTTGGGTTTGTAATATGTAGAAGGTTCAGCTGCGCTTTCCGGAGCCACTTTTACCAAGTTTACAGAGCAGAGCGCGTCCAGCAGCGTCCAGTAGCGTCCAGCGCTCCAAACAGACGACAAGGAAACTCGATTCGTTCAGGTTTAGATGATCAGTTCTCTTGTGGAATTAGACTAGTTTGTTTTAGCTGATTGTTTTCTGGGCCAGTGCTGTGTAGCCGGAGTGAGATGTTCATGCTGTGGGAAAGCAGTTGTTTGGATGTGGTTTCATGTTTATCCAGGTATACAGAGCTTTAAGCTCACACAGAGAGGACTTTCAGTTGGTTCAGAAGCTTAAATCTCAACAGCACTCTGGGCTTTTATACCAGTGCAGATTTGGTCACCAACACACGTAAGGAAACGTAAGGGAATCACTTACACAATCACATGTTTTTGTTTAGTTGATTGACTATTGTGGACTATAGTTTTAAATCACTGCTGTTTAGTTATCATTTTAGGCTTTGAAAGAAAATACACTAGAAATTCATAAACATACATGTTATATAACATAAGTATATACAGATGGGCTACAGTTTGTGGAGATGTTTAGGAAGGCATTGCATGAACCTACATTAAACCACACACAGGCAGCATCCATAACATTACACATAACATAAATTATGCATAGAGGACAGGAGTGAACTAGGAAAATGCCTTTCCTTCCTAGGTTAGTAAATCTGGAAAAGAATTCTTAATTCTTTGTCTTGACAAGTCACGTGGCTTGCCATGCAACTAGCAGTGAAGCAGTCATGGGCTACTACTAATACAATACAAATATCTCACAGAGAGCACCTTTAAGACAAACATAACAATACATATCAAGCTGAAGACATGCATGTTTAAACTAATCAGAGTTAGCCTTTAAATGTGTCAAGATGACTGTGGTATGCAACCTGGAATATGCCTAAAGAGACTGGTTTCCAAACTATAATGTCTGTGTTTAATTATAGGTATGCACAATATAATTAGTTGTAATTAACTTTCAATTAATAGCATAACTGTTAGTTATATCGTTGTCTTGGTGTATTTGTAGGTAATCCTATCCTTTTTTATTTACATTTGGATGTCATATTTCTATACAAGTTTACTTTTTCCATGTGTTTTCAACTACAGTTGGGATCAGGGCTAGAATGTAATGGAATGCAAGTATTCAGAATACAGAAATGAAGTAACTGTATTCAAGTTACATTGTGAAAAGGCAGTATTCAGAATACAATTACTCACCCAGTAAATTTAAACAATATGTTCCATCTTTAAAAGAAACATCAATGCTTGTTTACTAACTATTTCAAAATCAGCACATGGCATGTAAATACATACTTTAATAAAGACCTCAAAAACAGCTTTGTTGTAAACATGGCGGTTCCTACTAAATCCTGAGTAGACTGATAAATCAGTGAGATGAGCCAAATATTTATCTCAGTGTCAATGAGCTCTGATAAAACCAGAATAGACTGATAAATCAGTGTGATGATCAGTTACTTTTCTCATCATTACTAAGCTCTTTTGAGGGATCATTAAACTGTAGAGTCTCCTCAGTAGTGGACATGTTCACAACTGCAAAGCTTAGCATTAATGTTTTATTGCACTCACGCAATAAACAAGTTACATTCATGCAACATTAACTGAAATTCACATAACTACCCACTTTATAGGGTAATTTGCAAGATTTTACTACTGGGATATGGCAAACTGTTTTCTTAGTTCATGAGATGGCAGTGGGATTATGGGAGCAGCAGTGGACTGAAGCAGGCGATGACAGCCAAAACAATGTTGAGAATTTTGTAACTTTATTTAAATTGGTAGATTTTTCCAAAAAAGTTGAAAAATGTTTTTCCCATTGGCCTTATTAACATATTCTAAATGTATTCTGAATATGTTACTTTTCATATTTTGTAATGGAAAACATTACTGGATACATTGGGGACAGTGTATTCAATATTCAGCCATCATTACATGTTCAAAGTATTCTGCCCAACTATTTGGTTAGGATATTATGAATATTGGCTTATCTCTGCCTCAGTAATTCAAATAATATTCCTCATGTTCCAAATTTCTGGGTATAACATGTAAATAACTTATGTGAGCCTGATCTTTATCAGAATGTCGGAAAGTGTCAACAGTTGTGTCAGCAGGCAGAAGCCACAACATGGATTATGCATACCGCAGCATGACAGCAGTGTTTTCAGTGATATGTTAAACAGTTGGACTGTGTTGGGCAGTATTTAGAGGTATTTGTCAGTGCTGTAGATATGTTACGGACAATTTTATTTTGATGTCTTTCTGATATATATTATATAAATTTTCTTGTTCTACATCCCTATTGTGAGCTTATTTAATTAATTAATTTATTAATTAATTTATTTATATCTTAGTCCTTAACATTGTTGTTAGTGTTTATTTCATGGACCTCACTGGGGTATTTACTTCTGTCACATACATGTACAATTGAGGCCAATACCATATGGTGGGGTATATTTAGCAGCACTGATCAAATCAGCTCAACCCAGTTTTTACATCTTGGGATTGACTTTGTTGGTCACTACTCAGACATTTTGTGACGCATAGGTTGGTTGTGGAGTAATAGAGAGAGAGAGTCATTTTTCTATTTATCTGTTTTATAACTTTCTTACATCAGAAATATACAATGCGTTGCCTGTTTATTGGGCACATATACTGTGTAGATACAGTCATTGACCGTTTAATCAGGTGCACTCACCATATAGGCTTAGTGACTGAAGCCTAATTAGCCCCCTCTACCCTATCCTTCAATGGAAATGGACCACCACACAGTACTGAGCAAAAGTTAGAGACCACCCTTCATTTATTTAATTTCCAGTGAAAATGACCCTTGAATACATCAACCAGTGGGAAAAAAGAGAAAACATTTTTAAATGATTTTAAATCATTTAAATGAAACTGACAGAGAGGTTTCAAAAACTAAATATAACATTTTTTCAGTATTTACTGTGCTCACCCTTTATGCTTATCACAGCATCTTTTTTCTTTTGAGACTTGCTCTCAGTTTTCCAAAGCAATCTGCAGGTAAATGTTTCCACACATCCAAAGTTGAGTCTTAGGAGTGTATTTGCATTTGCATTTGTATTTTCTGCTTCTCACAAACACATTCAGTGATGTTGAGGTCTGGACTCTGGGGCAGCCAGTCATTTGTTTTGAAAACACCAGCAGCTTCTTTGTTTGATTTGCAAATTTTGCATTTGCTTTGTTTGATTTGCAAATTTACTTTTCTCAGTAACAGCTTTTTGACAGTTACTCATCTTTTCAGACCCATGTGCATCAAGTTTCAGACATCAAGTAGTGTTGTAGTACTCGAGTCAACAACAATGCATATCGTCATAAGAATCCCACCTAATTCTCCTGTTAAATGTCAGTTTGTTTAATTCCAGTGAGCACTAAAACATTTATTAAACCCTCTATTTATTTATACTACAATAAAAATAATAATAATAATAATAATCATCATCATTATCATCATCATCATCAGTAGTGATAGTGGTTTGTGGTTTGTGGGGACAGAAACTATTTAGCACTGATTAAGATTAAGACTTAAATGACAGCATATTTAGGCTGTTAGAATCCATACTTGGAAAAAAAATACAGGACATTTTTCCCCCACATTTTTTCTAGCAACCCCCTTGAGGGTGAGAGGTGAGAAGACCACCTAGCTAATGACCCCCAGCTTATTTGAATTTGAGACACTTGCTCTACTTGTTTTAATAAAATCTGTTTGTTGTCCATTGAGGATCAAATAGATGTTTTCCTTGATGGCTTATCTGGGCTGATTGGAATGTTTTAATTCAAAAATGGATATATACATACGTATCTATATATATATCTATATATCTATATATATATATATATATATATATATACATATTGCTTGGTTTATCAGTTGACTTAGGTGGTGAATTCTGAAGTACATTTTAAAGAAGAAGGGACCTCACCATCATTTATTTCCAAAAGTTACAATGCAAAGCTGGACTAACACTAGGTTAGGCTATATATTACTCACTGTTATTTTGCAAAAATAATATTATACATACATACATACATCATCTAGACCACTTATCCTTCTGGGTCTCGGTGGGGTGCTGGAGCCTATCCCAGCTGTCATTGGGTGGAAGGCAGGATACACCCTGGACAGGTCACCAGTCCATCGCAGGGTAGACAAACAGGCATACATACACAATCACACACACATTCACTCCTAGGGGCAATTCAGCATGTCCAATTGGCCTGACTGCATGTTTTTGGACTGTGGGAGGAAACCGGAGTACCCGGAGGAAACCCACGCAGACACGGGGAAAACATGCAAACTCCACACAGAAAGGACCCCGGTCATCCGGCCAGGAATCGAACCCAGGCCCTTCTTGCTGTGAGGCAACAGCGCTACCCACTGCACCAAATAATATTATACATATTATACAATTGATTAATATATATCGTATATTTTTTTTATTTTTAAAAGGTATCTTAAACCGGTCTTGGTCTTATGGTCTTGACTCAGACTCAACTGCTACAAAGTCTTGGTATTGACTTGGACTCTGCTGTAGTCTTGTTGACTACAATGACATTCAGTTTTTTTTCTCACTGTGGACTGTTTCAGATCTGAAGCAGGAATGGAGCTTGATCTTCTCATATCTCCCAAAGATGAAAACTTTTAAGTAATGTTTGAGTGATGGTGGTCTACCAGGACTTGCATGGTTGTTAGGAGTCCTATTTTCTCTGTATGTTTTACTCCAGTTTTGGAAACTCTAGTTGTTTCACTTTTTTTTTTTTAATTTTCCCCTTCCTTATGCAAGTAGATCATCTTGTATCATCTTGTGTATAAATATCTCCTGAAAAATCAATAACTTGTACTTTTGACTGGAAAATAAGTAAATGAAGAGTGGTCTCTGATTTTTATGGCACTG